CTTTATCTAAACTGCAAGTATATCTCGTAGTTATCCAGTATATTCCAGGCTGAATTTTTAATTTGCTGTTCTCTTTTGTAGAGTTCTCTTGATACTTGTTGTTGAGGCTAAAGTTAATGAATGGTTGATGTTTTGTAGAAAATAGCTCGTAGAACCAATAAGCAAAATCATAGATAGAAGTATCGATAGTGATGATATGTAAATCAACTTCACAATTACGTTCGTAATACAATCTTATAGTTTGCTGTACACATAAAATGTTCAGTTTAACAAGAGAATCAACAATGAGAGAATTGTTTTGTACTTTCGCAGAAATATTCATATGATTTTCTATCAGGTGTAAACACTGCGGATTTTGGGATAAATTCTCATCAGTTGAAGAAGCAATTCTGGTTAGAAATATTAGACACATGATTACAAAGAATGTAATCTTCTGAGTACAGTAAATCTAGAAAACGTTTTTATTTGTTAAACAAGAATTATAATATGCAAATAAAGACGCAACACACGAATTCAATATATACACATCAAATGTCAATTCTTTTTCAGATGTCAAGGACAGATGTATATGATCGTTATAGGGTATGTTTATCATCATTAGATTGACGCAATGTCTTTATGTTTATCACGTACGCATACAGATACACTCACGTAAAAGTTGTCATGATTGCATTGTTGTTATCAGTTTGACATGTCAAGGACGATTGAAAATTGAAAAATAGAAAGTGCGTTGAACGTTTTTGACAAGATAGTATTTTAGCGTTGTTTTATATTTTTTGAACACGTTTCAAATGTTAAATTGTGCAAGACAACATTAATGAAAAGGTTATATTATATCGTAAAACAATATATTATTGTTATTTGATTATTTTTATTTTTCTTTCAATTTTATAATGACAGTGTAACACGCTTTTGAGATACTACATCTATAGTCCGACATTTCATATTCTTCACGTTTTATAGTAGCGTACGGTTACAAACAAAAGTTTAATTTTATAATTAATTTAATTTATCAACATAGACATAAAAAAATTTAATACCATTTTCTGCATACTGATATCCAACGCATTAAATTATAAATCTTGCAGAAAATACTGCACACTGGTACTATAAAATTTAAAACGTATCGCGTATGCGTATCTATGTCAAATCTTGCTGTCTCGAGAAATCATCGATAACTAAGGAGCAGATGTTCGTTGTGAAATAATGAATACATACCACACACACGATGTAAACATATGAATGGGAGAAACGACCTTACAATTGTATCTTATGTATATACATAACGATAAAAATATCGTATTTCAAGTATGTCTTTTAACCGGTTAACTGGCAATGTATCATATATGCACAAACAAAAATCTGGCCACTTCTGCTTATGTATCATATATGCACAATTGGAATAACTTTCTTGATTTTCAAACGATTTGAATGAAACTTGGTATGTAATGGTTTTTGGGGTCGCTGAGTCTGAATTTGACATTAGAATTGTAAAATTCAATATGGCAGATTCAAAATGGCCGACTCAAAATAGCTGCCAAATGTTAAAATATTATCGGGATTTAGAAAAATTGTATATAGAGGTTTTTGAGGTCGTTGAATCTGAAAACTTGGCATTGGAATTTTTAATTTCAATATGGCCGACTCAAAATGGCTGTCAAATCTGAAATCAGATTTTCAAAATTGGCCGAACCAAAATGACTAACGAATTGTTGGGATTTGTATAACTTATTTGTACTATATATTCAATT